GATATCAAAAAAGTACTCCAGAGTGTTGTTCAGCATGGGGGTGAGTAGAAAATGAAGGCTAATCATGTTTTGGGTGTACTATTCCTTTAAGCCTCTTTTGTGTTTGTCATGACCTGGATGACTGGGAATTTGACATTTTTTATTGGAATCTCTAACAATAAAAAAAGCATTAACATAAGCAATAACGTATTCAAATAATGGTGTAAAATAATACTTCACATAATGTATACATAGGGGGAAACTCTTGGTTTAATTCATGGTGGAAATGTGCTTTCCTGATCTAAGTACCTGTTTGCTCGAACTAATAACAGCTTTGTCCTCACACTGATTACACTGACTGCTCATTTACAACCTTACATAACCACCCTTAACCCCTTTTTCCAATAATTCATCCCCTGTGAAGAAATAACTAACAGTGTAGGGTGGCTATATTTTTTACATAGTAGAAAACAAACATCTGAAACAAAAGATTGTGGTAAAATATTAACAAAAACTCTCAACAAAGTGCAGCTGACTATTTCAGGTACAGGTGAAGAGAAAAGGTCGTAGTCATATTGTTTAAATGCATAATCAGTTTCATACCATGTTTAACTACAGTAAAATGTCAAAGCATGTGCAGAAAAAACGTAGTCCTTTAAAAAAGTATGAAGAAATATGAGTATCATCCAAAATAAATATGAAAACAGAGAAAGTGGTTGATAAGAATTTAGTTCTTCCTTTTGAGGCATGTTTTGTTGATTTTGATATCATAACTACAGATCCAGCGTAAAAAATAAACAAATAAATAAATCTGTCTATAAATGGGAACTCTTTCAAACTACTGAAAAAAAAAATACTTTTGAACCTTTTAAATTGATTTCCATCTTTAAGATTAACTATTTTCCAGAATTAAACCTCCTGAAGTCAGCTTGGCTTTATTGGTCTGCATTACTCTGCAGATTGTTTTCCATTACTGTAAATTATAACTCAGGTTGTAAAAATAGGCGTAGATCCGTCTGTTTCTACCTAAATTTGAATCCTAATATCTACCCTTTTCTACCACACACATGTGAAGCTAATACATATTTAAACTTTTGATAAAACCGCACAGGCCCTGAAGTCACTGACAAGCTACATATATCAACCATCTGATCAAAATAATCAAAATCCTAATGTTTCCATTTGGACCGGTTTATATGACGGGTATACTTAACGAACATTTAGGGAGAAACACATTTTTTAACTACAGCCACACTACCGCAAATCTGCCTTGCATTTCTGTGTTGTTTAAAGGCCAGAACACACCGGTAGCGTGCGATTTTTAAATCTCCAATCCAAATTTTTTCCTTGTTACCTTGACTGCGTATAGGGAGACCACGATTTAGCAGGGTGGAAAGATCTGCACAGATTATTTTTACTTCTATCTCTGTGCTATACACAAATTTAAACCATTTCCTTTATTTGACTTGGACAGATTATAAAAAGCCGTTTAAAAAACAACAAACACGAGCATATTCTATAAAGCAAAGCCCCACTAACCCAGTCTGTGCAGCAGCTCAAACCACAACAGATGGAGAATGTTCATTGTCTATATTAAAAACATAATGAGATCTACCTCTAAAGAAAAAAACAAAAACAAATAAAAACACAGCAATAAATGCCATGGGACGGTTCATATGCTGACTGAGGTAGAGAGAAGTCTGGGAAGTTTATTGAAGTTTTCCATTCTGTTTTTTCATAAAGAGTTAAGAGAGATACGTCACACTTACCTGCTCTCTCTGCCCCTCCTTCTTTTTTAGATTCCTTGTGAGGCTATTTTACTAAATCTGTTTTTTCTCCTCATTATGTTTTTTCTTTTGATCAACTGGAGATTGATAAACTGCGCTTTATGTCCCTTGTTTTTTTTGAGGCTCAATAACGATCACTACTTTATCTGTTTTCTGTCCTCCTCAACTCCTCGTGAAAGTAAAGTATTATATTTCAAGTGTCATTGATTGTTTTTGCACGAGTCTGTCACGATTGCTATGAATTCTTTGTGCAACTCCAAAATTGACTCTTTCCCCATGCGATTAACACATTTTATTTAGTATTCTCCCCCAAAGCGGATGTGTTTAACTTTGTAACCGCGTCTCTTTTCCTGTATCGCGTTTCTCTCTTCTGACAGACAAGAAAGACGGAGAAATTTCCGCTGAAATGCTGCACAGTCTGACTAAAATGTCTCTCTCTCATTAGGACCTACGCAAGCCCCCTTGCATAAAATAGATAAAAAATATTTTGGGTGTGATCATCCCCATAGACTTTCAATGAGCACTAAATGCCACGAGCTTGTCCGACACCATTTTTCTGTAAGATCGGACACAAAATTAGATTCGGTGTGTTCTGGCCTTAAGATAAACAGAGATCCAACATTAGTGTCAGAATTTATAAACACCAGTTTTATCTCACATAGTGTATATGCTACGATGCCAAAAACCGTGGAAGAACAACTCAAAAGTTGCAAAAATGGTTCAACAATAGCATTACTTAAACTCATACTAAATCATGCAGACGCTTTGTCTGCAGTGATGAAGTAATAACTGAATTTAGTTTACTAGATGGTCAGGTTACTACTACTTTACTTCCCACAAAGTAATGGAGCATATCTAACATCTTTTATACTAATAAACTTCAAATCTATGAATAATAAGAGGCTGCATCCTAAGAGGCATAAAAACAACAATATAAAAAACAACAACAGAACAAACGTACAAAAAGCACCCACTGGCTGTTTAACATACCTGTAGCATACCTGTAAGGCTGCTTCTTTTAACTCTACATAAAAATAACACTTCCACATCCGTTTAAAGTCGAATTTATACTGTAACACACACAATCTGATCAGCTACCAAACCAGACATTCCCAGATCTTTTAAATATGTTTAAATGCTGCCACGTTTACTGCATTACCGCCAGAATGGCACACTAATTTATTGGATCTAATGCTGAACTATGTCTTTCTGCCCTGATGTAGACAAACTCACCTCAGCATGATTTATGCTTGAAAATAAAAGCAATTGCTTTAAATTTTTCTGATTTATTGTGTTGAAAATAACAAATATAAAGAGTTAGCTGATAACTTGTGGGTATTCATGGTGCATTGGAATCTGGTCCAACACGTTGAACCGTCATTATGACAGTAAAATGAAGTAAAATATCCCACTAAAACAGACGAACACTGTTGATTTCACACTCTTGATCCCAGTGCCCAAGATCTTTAAAACAGGAGCACACCAAACATTACACACAATTTCAAAGACATCAAAGGACTGTGTTACACATAAGCCCCGTTGTTTCTTGACTTTTTTTTCAATGTGTACAAATCAGAAACTGTGTGACAACAGCTTTGAATTCATAAGAAAGATAAATGGAACTAAAAAAACAAAAAATGTAAACATTTATTTAGGATGAATTAGTTTTTTTCTTAATTAGGATGGCTCATAAAAAACTATTAAAAAAAATGGCTGAATGTTTTCTATTAGAACATGCTCTCTTAAATTTGATTCAAAACCAGTTAAACAACCAAATGTAGAAGAGGCTGATTATAGTTTTTTAAACAGCTGAGCAGTTTCTATGGACTCAATGTTGTTTCAATATTGTTGTAAGCTAAGAATTAATTTTGTAAATGGAATATTGAAAAAAAAACTTTCAAAACCTCTTAAAAGAAAAAGGTTTTAAGACTAATTTTGCACTTTTTCTTAGATTCTTTTTTCCAATTTCTTTTCATATTTAAATTCCTCAAATTGTATTTTCGCTAAACTTTTTTTTCCCTTTTTATTTTTTTGCAGATTTTATATTTTCCAACTAATGTTTTCAAATTTTATTTTTCAGAGAGAGTTTTTCTAACTGCATTCTTTTCCCATTGTGTTTACAGATTATATTCACTTTACTTATAGGTCAATAAAAACCAAATAGAAATGCATTTTCACTCCATAAAACCCCACAAACCCTAGAATGGAGGAGAATGCAAATTATGAAAATAATGCAATTTGAAAAACTTTATATGAAAAAGCTCAAAATTAAAAGCAAAAATATAAAATCTGTAAAAACAAATAAAATATGAAAAAGGGAGAAAAAAACTAACCAGAAAAAAAGTTATAGTCTAAAGTTACTCTTAAAACCTTTTTTTGATTTAGTTTTTTGTCAAATTTCCATTTCAAAAACATGTTCCTTGCTTGCAATAAATATGGTACAGAATTCACTCCATATACTTCAGAGAATGTTGCCTAATAAGTGACAGCAGAAAGGATCTTGGATTCATTTTAGTAGTATAATTCTTCACTCTTTTTTTTTTTTTGCTTTGCAAGGAAACATAAATAAATTTAAATTTAAAAATAAGGTACATTTAATGAATAATGTACATTACAGAAATAAGTCAACTGGAGAAAACATATATCTGCCTAAATAGTTACCTTATAGCTGCAGATGACTGAGAATGCAGATGGGTTCTTCTTCATAGTTTCAGTTTCTGCGCTGAGGAGGTGCATATGTTTAGTTTGCCTCGAACTGACATCAGAACACAACTAAACCGCCATCTCATCCCCTAAGCAATCTGGCAAGCTTTCTGTATTCAACACATTTAGGAGTCGTGCAGAACCATCTGCCCCCGCTCCTTCTCCCTGCCCCCAGCTGTCACGATCATCGCTTTCATCTGTGTTCGATTCGTACTCCGACCCGATCCCCGACTCCCTGAAACGAAGCAGCTCCAGAGCCCCCAGGACCTGCTCTCCCAGCAGTGAGCTCTCATCACTGGGGGTCTCTCCTGTGTCCTGTCCCCCGGCTAGGCTGTCTGAAACCAGGTTGGAGAAACGAAAGCACTCGAGTCGGACTCCGCTGCCACTCGGTCCCAGAGGAATGGAGTCGGTGCCGGCGGTGTTTGGAGAGCAGGGCCCGGATAAAGCAGAGAACCAGGCTCCATCACTGATCTGGAGCTGGGAGGGAGCCGCCAATGGGCCTGCAGACGAGGAGCGGGTCATTGATGCACTGGGTGCACTGGGAGGCTTGGCACGGAAAGTGATCTCCAATAGACTGTCCTGGGAACCCACTGATTTAACATAAATGAGAGATAAAAAGAGTAAAATTCAGCACTTTGCAAAAGTTTTTATCACTAACTTTTTTACACATTATCAAAAATAAAACATTTTATGTAAAACACCAAT